TGAACAAGGCAGTGGAGACCTTTCTGAAAATGAAGTGGTTGGAGATGGTGGCTCTGGTGAAATATCTTCTGTTGTTGTAGAATCGATTCCTCCCCAAGTTACATCATCAGAGGACAAGACAACTGTTGTTGGTTTTGAGTCAATTACTGATTTTGGAGTGCAGCCATCAGAAAATATAACTGCAAGAATAGATGTTAAAACAGCTGTGAGTGGAGAAGCTCGATCAGTCACAAGTCAAGAGGTCATGACATCTCAAAAAGAGTTTGTCTCCTTAACAACTGAATATGAATCAAGTTACACAACACAGCCTGTTAGTACAATATTTACAGAGTATGTTGTTGCCACCCAGATAGCCCCAGTGTCTTCCAGACCTTCTCATTCTATTGCAGAATTGACACAGTTGACTAGTCACACCACAGAATCAAATCATACTGCAACTGCATCAAGTAAACCTAGCCACACTTCAGGTGCAACAGTTGAATCTGGCCACACTGTACTTCCAGCTATCCAAATAACGCCCGGTTATTTTAAGCACAGCCAAACATCAACAGTCACTGAAAGTTACAAAGCGACTTCAGCTCCTCTCAGGACAACAACACTTATTGCCCCATCTTCTAGCCAAAGGCTTAGCAAGCACACAACAATCTCATCTGTAGATTCAGAGGATGACACAACAGATGATGAAGGATCAGGGGAGTCCCCTATCATGCATGTTTCATCTGCAACCAAAATGCAGACTGGTTCTCCTACAGTTCGGACAGCCAACACTGGCTTTACAGAACTTGACAGGGACATCACTATAACACAAAGTTTGAGCTCCATTACATCAACCTTTGTAGACAGAGAGGGCTCTGGTAGTATTGAAGATGACCAGGAAACCACTCAGCAAGAGGGTTCTGGTGAGGAGGACAGAGTGAGTCCAACATCTGAAATCTATGATAATTATAACGTGGCCACAGATAAGGTGGAAATCATTGAGGCTAACCGCACATCAGAGGCAGTGAGTTCTGGTTCCTTCCATTCCACATCCTTCACAACTGAATCAACATTACTGTATAGCACAGTCCAAACAGCATTGAAATCCTCATCGACTGCAAGTAGTGAAATCACAGCTGAAAGTGAAGTTGATCAAGATACTGCCTCTAGTGGTGAAATATCCCCAGCAGCTCTTGAGACACAACCACATAGAACTGAAGCTGCACCTGTGGCAATAGTGTCAAGCACATCTAAAGCTTTATCAGTTTCAGAGACTCAAACGAGTTCCTTACAGCCAAGTACTCCAGAAATCAACTTCAATGAGATTTCATTATTAACCACAGAATATGACAAGGAATTGTCCTCACCTGAAGATCCTACTGATGAGATATCTAAAACAGCAACAACTAAGTCATATGATGACCTAACTGTAAGAACTGATGAGGCAGAAGTTTATGAAACTGAGGAGAATGCAGGATTCTCAAGTGCTGCATCTTTCACTGGCAGTACAGACTTCATACATCAGTCAACTTTATCCCAATTTCCCTCTTCCCCGAGCTCCACCCTGTCAACTGTAACAACTACAACTTCACTTTCAGAGGATGGCAGTGGGGAACACTCAAAAGAGGATGGAGCAGAAGATTATGGATCAGGTGATGACACAACTCCTGTGACAATGTCACCTTTGGTCTCAAAAATGAAACAAACAACCATTAGCATTACATCCATTAGCTCAGTCAGAGGTGGACAATACAGTACATACAAAGTTGTTTCACACAGAACCACAACACCTCAAATGCAGAGTGTGTTCTCAAGCACAAACGCTGAAGGTTTCACTCTGGTCTCAGAGACAGCACGTACAGAGAAGGAACCTTCTGGTGGTTCTGTCTCAGAGTCAACAGCCAATAGCTTTACTGCTCCAGAAACACATTCTGATGTGGTAACCACCCACACTGTATTGCCTTCTTTAGTGACATCTCAAGGTCCTGTGTCCACCCCTACTCCATCTGTCGTCTCTAAGGAAAATGCTGATCAGCAAGTCCCTCCAACAAGTCCAGTCTTAGTATTCACAGGGGAGGTGGAAGATGAAGATATGCTGTTTTCAGCTGTAACGGAGAGTATGATAGATCATAGCATCAAACCAGATGATATCACTAAGGATGAAATTATCCTTGATGCAGATACTATGTCTGTTTTAGAGCAGTCTTCGCCTTTTGCCCCTACAATTGTAACAGAAGAAGCAGGTGGAGTAATCCCAATTTCCATGATGCCACATCCATCAAGCATAACGACAGAAGAACCAGAAGGATCTGGAATGGATGGCACCGATTTACCTCAGTTACATGTGCCATTTGAAACCACCACAGATGAGTTAATGGTTCAACAAACAACATCAAACCCAGACATCCTGCAGAGCAGTTCAACATATGTAGATGAGGAAACACAAGCTACACAAACAGAAACTCCTGAGGCTACTGATGCTGATGTAAATGAACACATAATAGATCTTCAGACCTCCACAGAATCCAAACAATTTACGATGGAGACACTGACTGACGACTTCTCGAGAGACACTGTGTCTACTGAAGATTATAATGTGAAAACAACCCCCAAATCATCTCAAGTGTCCACAGACAGATTCATAGACATAGTTTCAGCTGAAGAGCACCAATCTGAGGATGTTCTAAACATTCAGACCCTATCAACACAGGCTTCCAAGACCAGAATGGAAACAATGTCACCAACAGCCCTAGAAAGAAAGACAACACCTCTACCCCCGCATACTATATCTTTAGAGGTGGAAGCTTCAACTGAACTAACAGACCTATATGAACCAGTTCAAACAACTATGTCCAGTCACCATTTCACTTCAACCCTTGCTGTTACAAGTAGTTCCCTATATGTTGATTCTGTTTCACCTGAAGAATCAATTTACTTTACTGGAAATGATGCAACATCTACTCAACATTCAGGTGAGAGCACAGACTCAGAACAGTCAGTCTCTCCAGTATCAGAATTAAAAAGCTCTGCATCCTTCCATGCTGATTCAGATCAAACGTCTGTCACAGATTCAGTAGTTATAGATTTAGAAAGTGTCAGCATGGCTGAACCTGCCAAGACCACTGCAAGTACACACACTGAAACAGCAGTAACACATGTTAATGATTTAACAGCTGACACAGAGGAAACATTAGACATCACAAATGTTGATGACATTGAATCAAGTAGTCCCACTTCTGATAAGGTAATTCAAGGAAGTGAATTAACAAACACAGATATTTCATTTGGAATTTCTGAGGAAAACACAAGTACATTATCTTCTTTAACAGATGATGGTTCAGGTGATCAAACTAGTGAAATGTTTATAGGAATGTCTGATTCAACAGACTCTCCTTTAACAGCTGCAGATGATTCAGTTTCAACATCTGTGGAGACTGATATTGTGTTTGTGACCTCCTTGCCTGAAGCAATCACAGTAACTGATCCATATCAGCAAGCTTTGTCTGAGATGACAGTGACACACGAACCCAACACAGACACTATGACGGATGGAGATGTGCCGTTGCCATCAACAACCATTCCCACACCTCGTATATCTGCATCAATAATTAACATGTCTACGGACATAGTAATGTTAGCGGGGTCTCCTTCATCTACATCCATACCAGGTCTGAGTGACAAAACAGAAACTCCTCTTTTCTCTGAGGAAGGGAAAGACGATGTAATAGATTATGATACAAAAACTGAACCTTACAACGTTGAGTCCATACCAGATTTCATGAACAAAACAGACATTGAGAATGAGACTGCCTTAGACATTAGCTCAGAATTCATGACCAACATTGATGACATCACCAAACCTGTAGGGGTGAAGAGCTTCACCACCTCACAGCTTGATGTTGGGACTGATTTTGAGACCACATCACACCCAAATATTGAGACAAGCTTTGAGACCACCCCACAGCCTTATGTTGAGACTGGTTTTGAGTCCACTTCACAGTCTGAAGTTGAGACTAGATTTGAGACCATTTCACAATCAAACATTTACATTGGCATTGAGGTCTCTACAAAACATGAGGATAGTGCAACAAATATTGATGGAAACACACAAACAGAAGTTTTGAATGTCGAGACCACCTCTCATCTTGACATTGAAAAAAGCTTTGAGACAACCATGCAACCAGATATTGAGAGTGTCTCAAGAACTGAGAGTGATGCTTCACTAACCAGCTCACCAACCTGTGGAACAAGTGGTTTAGATAGAAGCATATCTGGGGAGGTAAACACAGTCTCATCCAATACGCATCTCATCACAACAAGACTTTATGATGTCACAGATAAACCAAGTTCTGCTTCTATAAGTGAAGAAAAATCATTAGAAGAAGGAAGAGTTGAACATACAACCCAACCAAAACAAAATGACACCGAATTCAGGACCACCACACATTCTCAATATGATGGTTCTGTAACTTCCAGTAGCTTGAAAAGCAGTTCAGAGGAGAATTTCGTTATCACAGATATCCCTGAATCTCATCAGGTTCAGGCAGTGATTCTGTCCACTGCAACAATGTCACTTATACCTCTGACACAAGAGACTGATGTTAAGATTGTTAGTAAGGAAACTTCCTCAAGCAAACAAGAGGCAGCTGGTCAGATTGAGGAAGCTGTAACTCTTGCAACTGAGATTCCTATTCAAGAAACAGAAGATCAGATGTCAACATCTGTGCCTACAACTCTGAGTGAGACTGCAACACCATTTGCTTCTCATGAGGATGTTTCTGAGGCCACTTTGGTTGAAAGCTCACCCCCAAGGTCACAGAATGAAAGCAGTGCAGAAGACCTTGCATACACAATGATCGGGCAAACAGTAGATATTCCAGGTAGGATGTAAAAATACATTTTAAAAACAAACTGTTTTAAAAATAAATTTAAAATAATTTAAATAGGCTACTGTACTTTCTTTACCTATATAAATATACTTGTTTGTGCACAGTAGCATGCTTATATCTTCCCTCTTACTGCAGGTGTTCACTCCTGTTCTGATGATGTTTGCTTGAATGGCGGTTCTTGTGCAAAAATAGGCAGTGCTCAGATCTGCAGCTGTCCACCTGGATACAGTGGTGAACACTGTGAAATGGGTAAGCTGCAATGATATTTCATTTATTTATTAAAAGAGCACTGCATAACTTTGGTCTCTCTGTTGCCATCTGTGGCTGAAACATGAAATTGCATGTTACTTGCAACCTTGTTTATTTATTTTTTTTCAGAAAAATCTGATAGTTTGAGCAAATAATCATATATCTTTCGCTATAATACTGGACTTTTTTTAATCTGTTTATGGACATGGCATAAATAGGCCAAGGCAAATGATGTAAACCATTAATTTCCCACCAAATACATATTTCAATAATTTCCCACCACATACTAATAATTTTTTTTTTTTTCATTCAAAGTTCGGATTTTAACATATGAAGAGTTCAGATGCAAAAGCCTCTAAGTGCCATTTGAAATTTTCTTCTAAAATGATCATTTTTATCAAGCTTGTATATTTAAGTTCAGTAATTTCACTTAAATGACAATTAATAGGCAATCTTCATTGCCATTTAAGTGAAATTACTGAACTTAAATATACAAGCTTGATAAAAATGACCATTCTAGAAGAAAATTTCAAATGGCATTTAGAGGCTTTTGCATCTGAACTCTTCATATGCACAACATTGGAATATCACATAAAACATTTGCTAATGAAGCACCGTTTCAGTCCAGCGGGTCGAAGAGAACACAATTGTCACTTCCTGATAAACTTCCTAAAAAATATCACTAAGAAAAGTAAGAGCAACTGATGTATATAATAAATTACTTGCATCTCAGAGAGTGCAGATGAAACTCAATACATGTGTTATCTATCTTGCTTTACTGATGCTGATGTTTGGGAACAAGAGAGTTCGGGTGAGTTCGAGAAGGTTACTTTACTTATTTCATCCCATCACGCAAAGTCACAATTTTTATGTGAATTGAGTAATTTATTTCAGACTGATCGCATGAAATGGTGTACAGTATGTATGACACGCCAATTCGTATTTCCATTTTTGGCGTGCAATCAACACGCATAATCGCTTTTCAGCGTGTTTATGAACGTCGTTGACTTAACGTTACATTACTGTTTATATATATATATGACCTACCCCAACCCCATCCCTAAACCTCCCCGTCACTAGGGTTAATAGCATTTATGAGTCTTCCCCTACCATCCTAGGAAAAAAAAATATCGCTCCCCAGATGTAGATCTACATTTTGCTTCGTTTCGCTCGGACATTTAACGGCGTGTACATACACGCGGATTCACTCAGACATTTAATGGCGTAGACATACAGCTCAAAATGCGAATAGATAACACGCCACTTGACTTGAAAGTGGCGTGTATGTTTACACAAAAGTCATGATGCAATGTTGTTTATTTTATAAATGTGTTTCCATCGTAGTTTATGCATGTTTTCTTATTGGAAACAACAGGTATCCGACTCAAAATGAGCGCATACATTTTTATGCACATTTTTAGAATTATAATAGTATAAAAATAGGTGGATAGAAACAGACACTGTTGTCAGTCAAGGTTAGACAACTTTTAAACTGTTTCAAACTATTATTTTTTTAATGTACTTTGTCAATAATCCGATTTAGTGGATTTTTACACAAACATATTTGTTAGTGCATCTGGCGTTTTAAACTTATTGCACTTACAGTACATTATTTACTCATCATATAATTTTATTTATTTATCAGACATTGATGAATGTCACACAAACCCTTGTCGGAATGGAGGAACATGTATTGATGGCCTAAACTCTTTCACCTGTGTATGTCTTCCGAGTTATGCAGGAGCACTGTGTGAGCAAGGTAAGATTGTGTTTATCAAATAATCATTTGTTCGATACCTAAGAGAGGTAATCACTGTAGTCATCATACTAGATCTGTCAACATGTTGATATTGTGTGACGCTACTGTAGCCACTGAGGTTGATGTGGAGATGTACTGTAACAAGTGAACCTCTGAAATTTCATATGAGGTCATTGCTAGATGACATGCTTGTGACTCACAGTTTGGTAGATACTGAAAATGTGTGTTCCAAAACTGTTGTATGCTAGCTGACAGACAAAGTGATGCTGTACTTTCCACTTTTTAAGGGGATACCATTTCTTACAGCTGTTAAGACCATCAGCCATCACTCTTTCCCTTATTACACTGTAGACGTTGATTTACACTTTACATGAGTAAGTGAGATTGCCTTCTTGAGAGTTCTATCCTCGTCAAACCATTACAAGTGTTTGCTTCATCAACGAAAATTCTAATCATATCAAAATCTCTCACATCTGACTTTTGTCAGAATTAAAACTGTAAACTGTCGTCATGATTACCTTCTTGAGTGCACTGAGCAATCTTTTTACTTATCTTAAACTTGAGATAGCATTAACATTATATGAAGAAGTGTCTCTTGTAGTGGAACTGTTACTGTTTCTACTGTTACAACTGTTACTACTCAATGATTCAGCAGTGACTAAGAATGTAAGTGGTTCAGTCTCAGGGGCCGTTAACACAGAACAAATTGATGCATTTATCTCTGTTTTTTTTCCCCATTGCGTTTCTATGCACATGGGTTAGAAAGACGTTTGACCATTGCATTAATGTCTGGCATCTTTTGCAATGTCTCGCACATGACACTATGACGTAACTACTAATGAACAATCATACACATTAGTTAATAATAATAATAATAATAATAATAATTCATTACATTTATAGCGCTTTTCTCTGCACTCAAAACGCTTTACACAGAAGGGGGAATCTCTTCAACCACCTGAATGATGCGACGGCAGACATATTGCGCCAGAACGCACACCACACACCAGCTTACTGGTGGAGAGGAGACAGTGATGAAGCCAATTGGTATACAATATATATATATATATATATATATATATATATATATATATATAGACCATTTCACAAGATGTAAACAACACTGGTCCAGAAACACTTCCTGTTTCAGTTTGTAACTGTTTTTTTTTATTTCACATGAAAAGAAAACATCTTAAAGATGTTTGTTTAACTTTTTGATTCAGTTTTATATGTTCTGTTGGTTGTAATTTATCTCAGCTTTTATGTAGTGTTAAAAAACTGAAACAGGAAGTGCTTCTGGACCAGTGTTGTTTACATCTTGTGAAATGGTCTATATATATATGTGTGTGGGGATTATTAGGAGTCCATGATGTACAGGCCACTGGGCAAATTTGGCCATTTTGGGATTTTTTGTGACCACAAAGAGTTAGGGCCTCGGTTTAACATCTCATCCGAAGGACGGTGCTCTTTGACATTACAGTGTCCCCATTACTATACTGGGGCGTTAGTACCCACAATGACCACAGTGTGAGCACCCCCTGCTGGCCTCACTAACACCTCTTCCAGCAGAAACCTGGTTTTCTCAGAAGGTCTCCCATCCAGGTACTAACCAGGCTCAGCCCTGCTTAGCTTCAGTGGGCAACCAGTCTTGGCTGGGCTACAGGGTGATATGGCTGCTGGCTAAGTTACCACTATAATCCGTTTTATTTCAGCAGTGGAGTGAACGTAAACAAATCAAGTGCTTGATTAAAAGTACAGATACCACAAAAAATATTACTCCAGTAAAATTATAATTAGGCAGATTAGTCTTTCTAATCTAATAACCAGATTTAGTCATTCTTCAGCTCTAATGGTAATGGTTATTACTAATATCCAGATTGAGTCATTCTTCAGCTACTCTACTTTTATTACTTTTCTTAGAAAAGTCTACTTTTATTAATTAATTCCCTATATTTTCAGTTCCCCACAGTCGTGGCCTTAAGCACATGGATTTACTCAATGGAATTCTATGCTGAGGAAAACAGACACACACAGTACATAAAATATAAAACTAATCTAAGGTTAGTTATGGCAAAGTACTTGTGTGGGGTTCCGTGAAGTTGATTTCTTACAGAACACACTTACAAAACCGTTCTGGCAAACATTTAACTTTAAAGTTATATGTATTTGTTAAAATTGCTACTTCTATTAATAACATTAGTGATTAAGAAAGGTCACAACTCAATAGTTTTGTATGGCTGTTCATTAGTTACTTCTTAGTTATTTTTCTTGAACCTTAATTAGAAGATAATTATTAGTAGTTCTCAATGAGGTTTGATAGAATTCATGGTAACACTTTATGTTATGACCCGCAAACAACTGTGTAAGTAAACCGAAATTAAGGTGTAGGTTTCTGTAATTATAGTGTACTTCTGTGTAGGTATAAGGGAACAATAAAATTATGTTAAGTTTTGGGTAATAAAGGGGTAAAACCAGATATACAAGCAAATTATTTATAATTATTTTGAAACTAACAAGTACTTAATTCTGTAATGTAGTTCCAGGGTAATTTTGAAATTATATATATACACGACGAGGTGTTTTCAGGCACATTGTTGGCATGTTGCTGTTTTGAGGCAACTAAAATATGCACAGCAGAACACGACCCTTTTTATAATATGAAAAATTAAAGGATTAAAATGTAAAATATTATTATTGAGGACAGAAATGAGGCCCAATTAATGATGTTAGAAGGTGTAACGAGCTCCTTCACCTGTAGCCTGGAATATGTTAACAGAATAGTTACCTGTTAGTTTAAAAATAATTACATATAAATAATTTGTTTGTATATCTGGTTGTACCCCTTTATTACCCCAAACTTAACATATTGTTGCCCCTATACCTAAACAGAGGTACACTATAATTACAGAAATGTACACCATAATTTCGGTTTACTTACGCAGTTGTTTGTGGGTCGTAATATAAAGCTTTACCGAATTCATTACTAATTGATTTACTAACTGTTACTTAACACAATCATAAAATTGTATTACATAGTTAACACATCTTACTTAGTAGTTAACAGTAGTGAACTAGTGAGTAGTTATTTATGCAGTAAGTAAGAAACAGTATTCTAAAGTGTTCCTATTAATGCAATCAAATGCTTATCTAGAAACAAGACTAATAACTTGCTGGGTTGATAATATGTTTACTTTAAAACTCTTTGAATTTCCCAAGCAGTTACAGTGGCTATTTGTTTGACATAATTTACTTTGGTATCATATCTTTCTTAAACAATGCCTCAGAGCAAAGCATCCAATCTTCTCCACAGCGCTGCAGACATTCGTATGAAAAAATGAATTGGCTTCTTGATATGATAGACACATGGAAGTAACTTTTGCTCGAAGTGATATTGCTGAACTGGCATGTAATTTAAAATGAGGATGAAAGGGAGTGATATCATATTCCCTCAGGTCCAGTGTGAGTGGGAAATCATTCTCACTTGAAAAGAGTGCTACCGAACAAAAGAGGTTTGATTTATTATACTGATAAGAACAGCCTTACAGTGTAAGCCTAAAGGTAAGGACTAATAAAAAGAAATTGACAGCAGACAGACTTGCAACCTCAGGATTATCTCAGTTTCAGGGTCTACATGCCAATCTTATGTGTAGTAAATCAACAGTAATGCATACATGCTTTTCCACAGACACCGAAACATGTAGCTACGGATGGCACAAGTTCCAGGGCCACTGCTACAAATACTATCCTCATCGACGTAACTGGGACACAGCAGAGCGTGAATGTCTTCTCCAGGGGGCACACCTTGCTAGTGTTTTGTCCCATGATGAACAGCAGTACATCAACCGTGAGTATACATAAAACAAGTCATGGACATTCTGTCTATCATCAGCTTTAATTTACACCTTTAGTTACATTTCCATGCAAACTAATGATGGTTATTTATGAGGAAGGATACTTTGCTAGTGAATTTACCTTTGTTTCTCTCTCCTGTTGTAGGTCTCGGCCATGACTACCAGTGGATCGGTCTTAATGATAAGATGTTTGAGAATGATTTCCGGTGGACAGATGGTAGAGTTGTGGTAAGAACTTTCTTCAAAACGTATTTACAAGTTTCTAAAATGTGTTTTGAAAGAATGGTGTCGATGCAGACATACCAAGTTGACATATTTCTTTAAAAATCTACTACTATAAAAACAATGGGAACGTTAAGCAAGAATGTGTAGATGTGGGGGAAAAAAAAGGAAAACAGAAGACATACTGTATGCAAACAGCTCTGGTTCTAGAGGTGTTCCTCCATTGAACATGAAAGTGGCCAATTACAGTCGTTTAGTCCTGACTGGGCTCTCACTTCAAAGATATAATTGCAGCCTTTTGTGGGGAAGGGCCGAACAAGCCCTGAGGGGCATGAGATAGGAGTTTTCAGCTGTGGAAGTCCTCTTAGGACTGGATGATAAAAATAAAATGAGTTGAGAAGAAGCTTACAGGTGTGGACAGGTAATGAAGGTGTAGGATGAGCAGCACCTGGAACTGCATGCACTTAAGATAATACAGTCTGTATTATTGTGTATTATCTGTATTATTGTATCTCATTGTGAGTGGGTGACATTTTTACTCCATTTGGTATCAGTGAGGTACTATAAACAAACCACTGGAGTTTGCTCTCTTTTACCATTCTGTTTACAGAAGAGTTACTCTATTAAGAGTTTGTTTCTTCGTGTGTCTAAGTATGGGGTGGCAGTGGCTCAGTGGTTCATGTAGTCTACAAACCGAAAGGTTTGTGTTTCAATCCCTGGTTCCAAGACACCTAACCCCGGCTGCTCCCAACAAACTGGATGGCGCCTTGCATGGCTGACACTGCCGTCAGTGGTGTGAATAAATGAGTGAATGTGTTTTGGTGACAATCGTGTCTATGAAAGCGCTATATAAATGCAGTTCATTTACCATTTACCATCTAAGTATGTGCCGTTGGAGTTATCCAGAGTGACAGTCAAAAACCGCATTACGTCAATTTCCAAGCAGGGAGCGCACATTCATTTTGTGAGAGAATAGCAGCAGGACGTTAGGTGAATTGATATTCACAGGCTTGCTGAATGATCGTAGCTCTGGCATGTGTCGATCAGATATACTTAGCCTACGCTACTTTTACAAACTTTGCAGTTTTAATTTAAGCTAAAAAATGAAATCCCCTATAGAATAGTGCCGTATACATTGAAATACATATTTATATTATCCACGGTGCAGTTGTCCTGAGAAAGATGACTGCGAACATCACATCTGCACCATGTGGATGCAGTTAATACAGTTTGTCCATGATAGTAAATTACTCTTACTGTGACTGCTGGTTGTTTTTAAAATGTGTCTGTAAGAGCAGGTAGATGTCTGCTTCTGCTACTTGTTCAAGGGCAAGTGTGCACAGATGCTGGCATGACCTTGATTTATCCCTCCTTTGACATTTATCTTTTGTGTATAGACCTACTCTTGGAGTATATGGCCACTAAGTCAAAACACTTCCTTGAAAAAAAAGTATTTTTTTTTTTTTGTATTTTGTGAGTTCTTTTTTAATCTTTCAAATGCATTACACTTCTCTCCGCAGCTCCATATTGCAGTTTAGTAAATGTACTCAGCGCCCCCTAGTGATGTCTTTATCATTGTCATTTAAATGACCTCCTACGTGTTCCAGTATGAACATTCTCTGCTTCAAAGCCTTTGAAAGTGTTAACACTGTGTTCAGTGCTGTATATTGCTGGTTTTGACGCAGATTGAATTTGAAGTGCTGAATTATTTTTAAACACTGGCATAAGTGTACATCATAAACAAATTTCTTTAGGATTGTTGTCTCCCTCACATTGCCGTTCTCATCTCTAGCTTTATGCTTCCCCTACAGCAATATGAAAACTGGAGACCGAACCAGCCGGATAGTTTCTTCTCCTCAGGGGAAGATTGTGTGGTAATGATCTGGCATGAGGACGGCCAGTGGAATGATGTTCCCTGCAACTACCACCTCACCTTTACCTGCAAGAAAGGCACAGGTGAAGTTTCAGCTTCTGGATGAAGATCATTTATAGAATAATATTAGGGCATGCATTATTTTCAGTCAAGGTTTATCTGTGGTTGTATGCAGACAGACTTACAGTCATGTCTATGAGCTATACTATTTAAAAGAAAATTTCAGATTCAGTGCTCCACTGATGGTTAGTCTGTTGTCAATAGTGTCCTGCAGTCAGCCTCCTCTTGTACATAACGCCCGCACTTTCGGCCAGCTGCGCCCACGCTATGAGATCAACTCCCTGATCAGGTACCAGTGCAAAGATGGCTTCATCCAGAGACATGTTCCCACCGTTCGCTGCAGAGGAGACGGCTCATGGGATTTGCCTAAGATTTCCTGCACGAGTCGTAAGTATTCTGTGAAAACCCAACAAAGCTTTTTTTAAAAAACCGTCCCAATATATCATTTATTCATATATATATATATATATATATATATATATATATATATATATATATACATGTTTTCTCTTATGCTCACCAAGGCTACACATGATCAAAAATACAGTAAAAACATTAGTATTGTGAAATATTATTAAAGTTTTCTATTTAAATATATTTAAAAATGTAGTGCATAGGTGAACAGCAGCCATTACTCCAGTCTTCATTGTCACATGATCCATCAGAACTGGTGGTCCATAAATAAACAAATAAATACATTTAAAAATGCATTATCATCAGTGTTAAAAACAGCTGCTTAATATTGTTGTAATAATAGTTGGATTTTAGGATTGGATTTTACGAAATTTTAAGTTTATTTGATGAAATAGAAAGCTCAAAAGTACCGCATTTATTTGAAATAGAAATCTTTTGTAACAGTGTAAAAGTTTATATATATATATATATATATATATTTCGACCAATTTAAAGTAGCTTTGTAGAATACATTTTATTTTCTTCCTTATTAGTAAAAAAAAAAAAAAAAAAAAAAAAATTAATTCAATGTACTTGTATTTACTTTCCAGCCTCCAACTTCCAAAAGTTATATACAAAACGCTATCGGACATACAGAGGATTTCACAGTTATCCGAAGAGATCAGCCGACAAATCAGTTGATGTTCAACGACGACATCATCGCCATGGTGTAAAACACAACCGGACACAACACTAGTTACTATGGTGACACAACCATAATGTAAGGTCCATCTTAATGTATTTTGATAAAATTTGACGGACCTGCCTGCGGGCTGAAAGAAAAAAAATATATATAATAAAATAAAAGATTATGAAAAGGACCTGAAATAGGTTCAACATAGAGTGGAATATCACTGGAATGAAACAGTGCTTTTGTTTTTTATCTTGGAAGAGAGATCGGCCTCTAAAAACACAAAAATATTATTTGACCTGCCCTCCATCTGTTCTGCTTTTTCTTGGGAATACGCAGTGCCTTAATACATTACACCATTTTACAATCCAGATATAGTGAGCTATAATAGTGCAATCAGAATAATATTATAAAGTTCGTGGAATCTTAGCCTACAAATGGTACATTTTTAACTCACTAAAAATTGCTGTATGATTCCTTTCAGTATTTGAACCACAAGTGTATGCAGACATCCTGCTGCTTACTGAACAGATGAGAAATCATACAAATGAATGTGAAAGAATATATTTATTTTATATACAGTAGAGGGAGTGAGCAATGGCTCACATTGAGTTAGTGTTTGTTGTGATAGAAAAAGGTCAATAATGTCATGAAAACACCTGTATATACAATGTAGTGGATGGTTTTGATATCTGAAAGTCAACACAGTATGTTTAATACTTTGACTTTAAGGTATTAAATATTGAAAAGCCATGCAGATTTTAGATTATTTATATTATTCTGTTTGATGTTTCTTTTACGTGTTTACAATCCAAATCTTGTTTCAAATGCATTTAATTTCACCATTTTTTTTTTTTTATCTATAAACCAAAGAACTTACTGTATGTATTTCACATCATTTCTCATGTTCTTTTTTTTCCCTTGGACTTTTTAAAACTACTTTAAAGAGAATGTATTTTTGTGAGATGCTTGAAAGACTTGAACAAAATGTCTTTTTTTTAACAAGATGCCTATAATTTATTTCTTGAGCTGCTCATTGTCTTTTCATTGTTGTAATAAAATACAACATACTGAGGATTTAACTTGGCCAAACTGCACATTGGCAGAATTCAGTATATTAGAGTAAAGGACAGTGTGTCAATAGCTGGCGATGATGTGATTAATTGACGACATTTGCAACTCACAGGATTTAGATGGATTTTGTTATGACATTTGGGGTGTATCAATGGACCAAAAGAAGACGATTCGTAGTAACAGTTTGTTGTTGAACTGGTCATCCATTTGTTTATTCCCAAGCATTTTTACTTTAAGATATTTTCATTTGTTTTCTTATTGTATTTTTTTAAGTGCACATATCTTTTTATATTTATAGTATAACTCGTTTATTGTCAAATGTGATTGTCTAGAATGTTTGTGGAATGGAAAAATTGTAAGGAACTTTTTTATGTCTTCTATGTAAACAAAGTTTATTATATTATACTTGTGTTCCTCTAGTATTTTTTTTTTATTCTGATATATACTATATATACTATATATATATATATATATATATATATATATAGAGAGAGAGAGAGAGAGAGAGAGAGAGAGAGAGAGAGAGAGAGAGAGAGAGAGAGAGAGAGAGAGAGAGAGAGAGAGAGAGAGAGAGTCAGAGAGAGAGATAGAGAGATATTTGACTACAGGGAAGGGCCTAAGGGCCTAATTGCATAGGTAAAGGGATAGTTCTCTTTCAAATTAATTTTTGATATGTTTTCGACCTAAAAATATCAAAATTGAAAATACTGCAGAAACAAAGACACCTACATCTTGGATCCCCTTGAGGTAAGCTAAAACATATCAAAAAATAATTTCAGTGAACTATCCCTTTAATAATTCTCAAACATTAACTGAGGCGAATGGGATGTAATTTAATGTCTTTTTAAATTTACAAACATCTAATATATTACTCTATACAATACATCAATATAATGAAATGAACTGTGACTGGAGTAAAGACATTGCACTTCATGTGTTTTAGTATAACTATACAAATAAATAGCTAAAGTATGTGGTTCATCGGAAGTGCCTAATGTTGACCACCAGATGGTATCAGTTCACTAACACAAAGACACTTGAGCATCTGAATAGTTCTATCAGATAGCAAAATTATGTCAATTATGTTTTGTGAAGCTGAGTTCCATTGAAACATTAATGATACTCAATACAAAAATAGTTAAAATGTTTCACAATAAAAATAAAACATAAATATACAATAAAATAAAAATGCAAGGTTTATTGGCTCTTAGTTAAACATTTTAGTGTTCCTAGTGTTTCAGTATTAGTGTTCCTTAGTAAAAATGTTGAAAAAGTTATCTAAAATGTTAGTTTTGATATTGCCATTTGGTTTGATATTGTGTTTTCTATTGTGATTAACAGTCAGACATTGCACTTAGGATCTTTTGTAAAGTTGCATACCGGTGTGGATTATAGTTTTATAAATATGTTGCATTTAAAGTCGCAATGTAATGTAGAAGGAAAAACAGACTTTGGATGTGCCTCGGGTGTTTGAAGTCCCATTGCTATATTTTCAGTTGACACAAATGCATTTCCCTGCCGCTAAAGGTATACCGCTGTGTCATTGTTCATTAATACTTGTGGTTTTCTCATTTATGTCTTGGAAGACAACCATTTTCCATTTCAGAAATTATTTATTTATTTATGTTAAACATCTGCTATTAATTTACATGTAAAAAAAGGATGAATTAGTCACAGAGTATTGTATAATCAGCAACTTTCCCTACAAATGCTTCCCAGACTTCTCATAGAGATTCTCAGATCTAAAGTTGAGAGAGCTACTCTGAATAAAGTATTTAATAAATATTCTCATATTATGGGCCTGCCTACACACACACACACACACACACACACACACAGTAACATTACGAGAACTCTCTGTTCCCAAAAGAAATGGAATATGTGCTATGCAATCAGCTTATTTCAGGTTGTTTTAATGTTTTGCATAGTCAGCATCTGGACCTTCAACATCCATGGTTATAGGCACTATAGATTTACAACACAGTTTAATGGAGAAGAGAACAAAAGCCATTTCAATTTTTATGGGTTTTTATTTTTCATTTTAAATTGATTTCATTCATAAACCGTACACTGCACATCAGATTAAAAGAAAAGAAAAGAAAATGATATTTTGTGCATAGACAAAATCAAACAAAATATAATTCATGTGCACTCTGGCTTCTGCAGTTCAAAGCTTAAAGGTAGAGAATCTTTTCCCCTCCCAATCCCATAAACAAACAACATCTATCAATACAAAGTGACAAGTAATAGATGGTTCACAGATCTCATTATCTGAAGTCAGCCACACTTTGCCTGTCATTACATTCCAATGTTAGAATCTATTAGAATCAAACTGTGTGAATGTAGTTCATGTTGGTTTTTAGTGCTGTTTCTCCCCTTTTACAGAGAACAGTGGCATTACAACATCATTAAATTGCGATTTACATCTACACTTAAGCAACTAAGGCTCAAGCTAGTCTTGAAATACAACTGGGTCCTGAACGATTCTCGCATAGTTCTCTGCCATATAGCAAAGTTTAATGCATCATAGCAGTTAGTCAAATTCAGTCAGTCTCTGGTGAGATACTTGTCAAAATGCGATGAACACATTTAAACAACTTTTAAAATCTTCACTTAGGCCATCAAGTCCAAAACTGAGAAATAGCTCCTCTCATTAATGAAAAAAAAAGTGGTGAGAAAGTACATCACAATATTGCAAACAAAGGGTAGGCATGAATTATGAAACAATGGAATTATTTATGAATATAAAGCCTTAACACTACAGGCCAAACAAAATTCATTTGACATTTCAAACAGATAAAATAAGGTCACAGTTCATAGCATTGGATAATACACCAACACAAGAAAAGAAAAGAATCATATAGAGTTATATAGATTTAAGGAAATTATAATTTGAGTAAGATCACAAAAGTGTTTCAGGAAAAAAGGTGTCAGGTCCATTTACTCATTTACTTTCAAAAACTTTCTGTCAAGTTTATACTATTTGTTGTTTAAATATTTTTTTTTTTTCGCAATGTCACAATTGAGATTCTTGACAAACTCACACTTACTACTAAAAGGGGTTTTCATCAAAATGGTGGGACTTCAACTTTCCTTCCAGCTGAATATACTTTCTGAATGTAATTTGTGTTTCATACATATGGTGTAAAAAACTACATAAAAAAGTAAATGCTAGATAAAATAACTGTTCACAATAATACTGTTATGTGAATGTAGCAGTACAATCTTTACAGTATGTTTTCTATAATAGTTGTCACAGGGTGAACGTGATTTCAATGCAAGATGTTCCTGGAGCAGGATCTTTGATGGTGCTGGAACAACATTCCAATCAACCAATCAGATCTGACATGTTTACAGTTAATGTCAAGTTTAGGCTTACAACCAGGGTTAGGTTTAGGACTAGGACAAAATTTTGGGGCAAGAATGCTGTTTCAGGATCAACAAACTATTGACCCAAGAACATGTCTTATATGGCAAAATCACGGTGACCATTGTCACAGGTTAAGGCAAGTTCATGCAAAAAAAATCCTTCATAAGTTTGGAGGAGGACACCGTATTGCTGCTCTTTGGTTGGTGACAGGTAACGTGAAATGATAGCGCAGTCTCATCCCAAGACGTCATACAACTGGCGCTTTTGACCATACGTCAACATCCGCCGTTTAATGGTACCCTGAAACGTCGGTTAGATGACGTTATCTAATCCTAACCCTACCCCAGACCTAAACCTACCCCGTCACCTAACTGACGTTAAAGGGTACCCTAAAATGACGGATGTTGTTACCCTAAAACGACGTCTTGGGATGAGACTGTGTTAGAAATGAAGCGCTTCAAGGTTGAGGTTTGTAGCAATAGACACCGTACAGCTTCTGCTTTTTGTCGGGGAAGCCAACAAAGCGAACCGCAGCCTCCGTGGGGCTGCAGTTCTTCCGGGGCCTGGAGATAGGGTAACGTACGCTACCGTCGGCCAGCCAACCGGCATCACATCGGTCGTATCCATGCAGCTTCCAGGCAGCATACATGTGGCCCACCTTTGCAATCTCAGCTCCATCTCCCTTGCATGCATTGACAGCCTCCTCATAGTCCAGCTTCCTGGGCTGGATCAGGTAGTAAAAGAGGCCTGTGATGTTAAACAGAGTTTCAGGGTTGTGGACACAGACATGGCTAAATGTTATATTGCATTTTATGCTAGAATTGAATAATTTAACTGTTTAACCCACCTTTAAGGCTGGCTGTAAAGCAAAACACATCATAGCGGCTTTTGGACTTGTCCCTACTGCCATAGTTTCTCAGTCCGGCTGAGGTCCTTGCGCCTCCACAGGGCTCTCTGGGTTTGGTAATGGGATACTGCACGGTTCCGTCATTGAGCCAGCCGGCATTGCACCAATCCAGCCCACTTCTCCATTCCTCGTAGAGCTGCTCGAAAGAGGCGACCACAGCGTCTTGCTCCAGACAGGCAGCCTCCGCGTTTTGGAAGTTGAAGTTGTACCGCCCCAATCGAGGGAAGTATGGGAACACAACTCCTGTGAATGAAAGTGAATTTTCCCCTGAGGAAAAGTTTGACTGAGTTTAACATTAGATTGATTTGATGAATGTATTTTGTGACCGCCCAATTGAACGAACAAATAAAGAGTGATATTAGTAAAAGCCTTAGTTTAACATAGTTCCCTGCTTAGTTAACATGGTATAGTGTTAGAAAAAAAAATCAAAAAGAGAGATCGTCACTTGCAGGGTTTAGGCTTTTCAATCTTATAATCCATTGTTCCAAGGTAACAATGGCTAGTAATGCCATCCTGCTTCATTATGCTCATTCACCTCACTTTTCTGTGTAAAGATCTCCACTGTTTCTCTGGAACCAAGTCTGCAATGGTGGTCTTGGCCAAGAACAAGAACTACAGGGTTTTACTGGAGAATGAACTAATGATAAGTGGCAAATACAACATTTGGAAATAGTATAAAAGAGCACATTAACATTTCAAGTGCTAATGTGTAGCTCTGTGGTAATGTTGATGACTGACTGTTTACTAAAATGACCTGTTCAAATACAAATTCTGAACTAGAAAATAAATAAAATGTGTTTGTAAAGTAATGGCAATGTGTTTTAGATTACAGTCAGTTCATTTGTCCAGTGTGTTGCACACGTCCTGAAAAGTGAAGCCAATAATACATTGGGTCAAAATTATTGATTTCTATTTTATGCCAAAAATCATTACAATATTAAGTAAAGATAATTTTCCATGTACATATTTTGTAAAATCAAACATTTATGTTTGTGAGTGAATGCAGTGCCCTCAATTTTTTTTTTCACCCTCAGATCCAGATTTACAAATAGTTGTATCTCTTATCAAAGCATACATAATGGAATTCTTATTTATTCAGCCTTCAGGTGATGTATACATCTCAATAAAAAAAATAAAATAAAATAAATAATAATACCCATGACTTGTTTTGAGGTCCAGGGTCATATATATGGAAAATCTCCGCTGTTTTAATGACCAGTTGGCTATTGATTGTTAAATTTTCATTATTAAGTCACTTTGGTTGAAAAAAGCCAAGTAATACATATAAATGTTATAGGTTAAATAATTGCTTATGTGACAACATGAAAAACTAAAGTTACCTTGCAATTCAAGGTCCACTTCGACAGTCTTGTCATTAAGGCCATTGATGATCTCACACCTGTATGTGCCATAGTCCTTCAGATCTAGGTTTGTAATAACCAAGGTAGCATCATTGTCATCCTTCTTTAACAGGTATACGCGGTCCTCAAATTTTCCATAGGTCTTCTTGTGGAACCCCATGGACATCAACACGTCGGTCTCTGTCGAGTCATCCTCAAGCTTTGTCCACTTGATTCTGTTTCCAAACAAATTGGACAGACCTTCCAGTTTGCAGGGCAGAGTGATATTGTCTCCTCTGTTGGCGTAGACTTTGATTCTTTCATCTAAAATGAAACAAGTAGAGGTTTTTTTCATCTCAATGGTTTCTTTATATTGAAACCACACAGTAGGTCTAGTATATTTGTTTTATGTTTACACGGACAGGATGTGTTTAATTATAAGAGATTTCCTTACACACTTTTATTGGTTTGATTTTATTGCTATTCGGGGCATAATTGACCCTGTCTCAATATCCGCACTTGCGCTCTTGTGCTCTTGTGCCCCTCAATGCGCGTTCTCGCTAAGGGGTGCAAGGATGTCCCGATCCTCTAAAAGTGTTCTCCAGGGGTGATCATGTCATATCGGGCACTTAATGCACTCCTTTTACAAGTGCTCATCAGACCTCACTTTGCTATGGGATATTACCCAGAATCCAGTGTTGTGACATTTCGAACAGCTATACAATGGGGGAGAACGGTTGCTATGGTGCTTGTTTGGAAGTAGAAACTCATTTCAGTTGAGAATATAGTTGTTTAAAGCTCAAATCTGTGGTTTATTTGTGAAAATAGCACCTATTTAAAAATTTAAAAGTTCCAGGTGATCACTCATCGCTCATGTACCCCACTTGGAACAGCCTTACCTCGGCTAGTCATTCTGACGTTTCCCGCGGGCTCTGTGTCTAGTGGTTATACATGGCCGTTTTGGCTGAGGGCAAAGTGAAATTTCACAAATTTATATATTTAAGCTATTTAACTGTAACATTGTAACATTAGGCTGTTGACTTATATTTGACTGAATCTTTTAACTTGCTTTATTTATTGACTTGTATAGCTTCTTAAAGTTTTTAGGCTACTTACACTTTAATAATGGCTATTATTGATAAAAAAAAAAGAAATTTAACAAAAAAGAAACAGGGTTGTGTCATTTTATTTCATATAGCATATGTAAGACTATTTTAATAGACTATATATATCACCAACAAGTCATGTATTTTTTCATGTATGGTATGGGAAGAATTTCATATATCAATTTCCATAATTTTGATTAAAAAACATAATTAAAAAAACATAATTAAAATTGCATTTTGAATCGCTGTGAATACGGTAAGGCAGTATAAGCTCAGGTAAACCTGAAACCTCAATCACAATTTATTTTATCACAATTTATCTTAGCCTTATCTTAATATTAGTTTTAATATTAATAACATTAACAGAAAGGTTGGTAGCTAAGAGTAAAAAAAAAAAAAAAAGATCTTCATTTTTGAATTCAAAGAATTGTGTCATGTTACAGCTATTATAAGCAGCACACACATTAGCCAAATAAACGTTTTTTGCTCCCCTGATCACAAGAAAATCTTTCAACAAGTGTCCACTTTGAGGAAGACCTTAGGGCGTAGTGTGGGTATTGGGACAGGGCCATTGTCTCATTCAGTTTCTCAAGATGGTTCCTGATCTCTGCTTAAGCCTTGGGAGGCCATAATCCATCACAGCTCCATGGTGGACGATTTGATTGATATGAAGGAAACTAAAACGACCCAAGAGTTCTCCATGACAGCTATACACCGCTATCAAAGTGTCAATTGCACAGCAGACATAATTTAATTTAGCTGAAGGCACCATTCAGTCCCTCTTTCCCCTATGGTTTAAACTGTCTACAGATGTGCTTTTGCCAAATCAGTCAACCCACATTATCAAATTAACTCAAATCCTCCTTGTTTATCTACAGCATCAACTGATTCATGTAAGCATGGGCTGGGCAACCTGTCAATCTAAAAAGATGAAGACAAAGGCACTTTTTTCTGTTAAGCCTTGACCAGCATGTTCTAATAACCTTTATACTCAGGTGAAGTGTATCTGCAGGAAAACATTTCCCATATGCTATATATATATAATATATATATATATATATATATATATATATATATTAGCATATGGGATATATATGGGACTCATTATCACTTTCTGTTTCTGTGCATCAAACCATTTACTTTACTATAGTCCTTTATTACTCCTTCCTTGACTAAACTGGAAACTTCTTAACCATGTGCCAAACCTATGCTCAGAATGAATATACCACGTTAATAACATCTGAGTGTTTCATGAATCAGAAGCCATATTAAACTGTACTGTTCTCCACCTTTAATTATACAGCACTTAGTTCACATTAATAGCAACTGATGAAATATTCTCCGCTTTCCAGAAGTAATTAAATCCTAGCCCATTTCTTACAATCATTACCACATCTGATCCCTTGTTACACTTCATTGTGAGTCATTCACTCACTCTCACTTTCTTCCAAATAAACTCTCGCTTAGGAGAGAGTGTGCCAAAGTGGCATGCTGCAACCAGGGAACAGATGAATAATCTCTCATCAAATGATCAATAATGACAGCAGCTACCAGTTTTGGAAATTTATAACCAAGATTTTTGGATTAGGGCTCCACACATGCAAGCTCTCTTTGTTGGCTGACTATCTACACCATTAGAGTGATTTTGTACCAGTTTTGCACAACTCTCAAATAACATCTCAAATCCTCTAACCCACAATGTTCTCCATATACCCAACTCCCACTAGTTCTCATGACACCCCATCCCCCATCTCCACCCACCCTTTATTCCTGCTCTTGTAAGCAAACAGAAGAAAAGTGTTTACTCTTGAACAGAAGAATGGAAGTGCCATAGCTGTTTAAATATTTAAGTGCCTCTTTCCCACCCACCAAAAACAGCTATTTGGTGTAAGAAAGGATAGATATTAATTTAACATATGGTAAATGGATTTTTATTGTTTTCCAGAGAAAACTATAATTGAGGTCCGTGACTGCATGTAGTCATAATAATGCAGTAATAATCTAAATAATTATTATAATAATAAATTAAGTCTTACAAAATGATAACAACACATACCAATAATAAATATATATTTTAATATAATTAAAACAATAGTTGACAATTTATTTAAAAAAAAGTATAGGTAAAGTAAGCAAGCAGACAAATAATATTACAAGTAGTTAGACAATGGGTTATATAACCAAGTCATCATCAGAGACGTTTGCAAACTGAAGTATAAACAGAGAGGGTAATATATATTTAAATTAAAACAATCATTCAACATTGCCATGCAATACATGTGTTTGGGTCCTATTTGACATCTTGTACACATCTGCTGGGCAAATGGGGTTGGAGTCCCACAGTTTATTTGCTTGTTAGGGACACAATCCTAAATGCATAAAAGCACACTGATTAGAGCTTCACATCTGTGTATACAAGTGACATATGGAATCGCTCGGTCACAGTCAGACAGTCTTGATGGCTAAACTTCACTTCCTACACTTTGCTGAGCAAGCAGAGGTCAGTGGTGTATGAACATGAATTATTGCACACAGCTGGACAGCACTCCCACTATCATAACCATCCCACTTGTGCACAGACATTTAGATTATGCTTCTTTCTCCCCCTGTTTGCATGTGTTATAGTGAGATTATTTCAAAGTCCTTCATTCATTATCTCCCCCTTTCTCTCACCATTCACACACAAAGCCATTCTCTCTCTTTTTCACACACCCCCTACACGGCCATGCCTGACTAATGGCTGCATTATGTCTTGAACAGAGCCTCTGTGAATCAGGCCTATCTTAAGCAGTCACTAAGTGCCCTTTCCCTTCTTCCATCAGTCCCTCCCTTCTCTCCATCAGCCCCAGTCCAGCCCAATCCATACACACCCATGCATTTACAGACCATTACATCAGAAGGAAAATAACTGCATTCAGAGAGGGGCTCTTTATATTTTCAGAGGCTGTTAATCTTGCTGTAGCTCCTGTCATATACATACATTAAGTGACTTCACTGTAAAATCAATGGATTTGGCACAGGCCAGCATACAGCTGGGAATATAAAGGTCCAGTGTGTGGCTCTTTAGCCACTAATATGCTCCTGACATCACTGGCGGGGAACTGATCTTGCATTTACCCTCAAGAAAAGGTAATAGATCTACACTCAAGTGTAATCAGCCGAGCCACTTTTCTTGGTCAGTTCAATGTTGGCTCACATCCTCCACTAACTGTCAACAACTGTTAAATTACCTGCAGCAGGTGTTTTAGAGCTTATGAAAGTCTGTGGTGAGCTGAATCTTTGTGCTTGTGTGTGTGTGTGTGTGCGTGCATGTGTATAGTGGGTGGAGTCTTGGAGTATTTTAGAGATGAATAGTGGAATAATTCAATTCAAATCTGGTGATAGCATTGAGAAAAACATGCTCATCCATGGTAAATGTGTTTTTTTTTTTATTCCTCATTCTTATTAGCGTTTAACTTTGATGATCTAATTTCTATAAATTATACTGTGCAGTTTGTGAGCATTACATTTATCTTAGCACATTCCCGTCTGCACATAGACACATAAACATATGCATTCTGAAAGATAAATTAATTCATCCATTCATGCATGAAGGGATTAAAAGTGGTTCTTACCTTGTGCTTCAACACGTAGACTGCTTGCAAAGAAAAACAATGCCAAGGAAAACAGAGCGATCATCTTGTCTTTTTGTTTCTTTGCCTAAAGGCCTCTTGACTAGAAAAGCAAATTTACAAGAAAAAACACAAAAAATGGGCAAAAGAAATAAATGCAATTGGGCAATAAAACTGGAGAGTCAAGAAAACAAATATGTTCTTCCCGTTCTAGTCGATGTAGGTGTTGGTAGTTGTGCCACAAGAAAGATTGGGCTCCTAAGAGGTCCATTCAAAAGGCTTATATTGAAGCCCTGGCCAAATGTAGCCACTCCCCCTCCCCTTAGAGAGAGATGAAGCCCATCACCCTACATTGTGTGTGTGTGTGTGTGTGCACGCGGACTCCCTCATTTAAGAACAGCTTCCCTTTCTGCCATGCATGGCTCTCCGTTTAGATTTAAGGGGAATCGTGCAGATTTCAATGTGTTGTTTGTGCTGGCTATGTGGTTAACAGGCTTTATACAAGGACTATTATGTAACAATGCCTTTAAAATTTTGTGACATTACATTGGTTTAAATACAGTTCTCCAAAATGTTGATTAATCAACTTTATACAGACATCTTGTCTAATAGTATATTAATACCAGACACCCACTTTAAACAGTTCGTTCTCAACATTTACAGCCCATTCTCACCCCCAAGGCGTCACCTAACTGACGCCTTGGGAAGCATTTGGACATGCTTCAATATCTGGCGCTTTAGGCGCCCTTTAGCGTCAGTTAGATGACGCCCTAGGATCGCGTGTACCCTACCCCCACCCCACACCTAAACCTAACCGCGTCCTCTAACTGACGCTTTCCTTTAGCCTCAGTTAGATGACGCCGTAGGATCGCGTCATGTAAGTGACGCTAAAGGGCGCCTAAAACGTCAAATATTGAAGCATGGTCAAAGGTGACGCCTTGGGGTGAGAATGTGTTGACATTTAGTATAAGGTCTTCAAAGTTAATCTGTCCAACAGTGAGCATGTCTCACTGGAAGCATATACTCATTCAAAACCTTGAACATCAGTTCTGCTCTCCAAATGCTGAATTACACAACCTCTCAAAATGCTTGTAATACATGACTAGTGCAGTTTGACTTTGCTGATTGATTTTGCATGTGTTTGTACCTGCTGTGTTATGGTGTTTTACATCAAGGCCTGCCAGTCATATTTTTGATCAGCCAAGAAATCTAAAAAAAACACCCACCTTTCCATCCAGTCATCTTCTTGGTTCCTCTTGGAACCTTTACTTCACCTAACATAACCCTCTTTTCAGATTACTTAATGGAAGTTTGTGCTGATAAGTAAATATATGTCCCACTTCACCTAAACGAAAGCTTATATGGACTCTAAAAGACCTCATTATCACATGATAAGAGATATGATGGGGATGTGGAAGGAGTATGTGTGGTCCATCAAGGATGTTTTCTTAGTGGTCTCGATGGAGTGATGGTGAAAGGGAGTAACCTGGGAATGATGTCCCATCACAGTTATCTCAGCTGTGATTTACAGATCCTAGGTGAGAAGACACCCTTCATCCCCACAAGACCTTGTCTTAGACTAAAGCTCTGAGTCATATGTTCCCCATCCTGAAAAAAAAAGGTCTCAGAAGACGGAGGTCATTATGCCAAAATCATCACAGTGACTTATTTACACAGCTGATTTACACACACACACTATGGAAAATGAGGAAGGGTCTCTGGGTTGCAGCATGACTAACTGAAAATTTGGGTCAGAAAAACACATTAATTCTTGATTACCCTGATGATGTCAAGATTTGCTTGTTTCTTTCCAAACACTTAAACACAAAAGGGTCAATTTGCAGAAATAACCATGGTAGTTATGAAAGCTAATTTAGGCAATTTGAAGCCATTTGCTCTTACCATTTTACTTTTGGTTAAAAGGTGTAACAATGTGTAATTTTTTGTTATTAAGCTAAAGAGAGTCCTTAAAGGACAAGTTCGGTATTTTACAATTAAAGCCCTGTTTTAAGATCGTCCCTGATGAAATAGAACAGTTAAGATTGTTTTTTAGACAAATGCTCCTGTTTTTTGGATTCTGTGTTAGCACCCCCCCCCCCCCCACACACACACACACACACACACACCTTTATAATGAAAGCATAGGTGCACTCGAACAATCATTCATTAAAACGCATAAAACTTTAGTTTACAAAGACGTGAAACTCACTGAGTGGTATGGGGTGTTCACTGATATGCTCACACAAAAATCGCTGCAAAATATGCTTTCCAACAGGTTTTATCGTAGTTTTTGTCCAAGTCCATTTTCTTCCTGTTTTTGGACGAAGTCCACAGTAGTCGATTGTCGAGTTTGCTTGCGCAATCCTTAGTTATCTAGTTACCAATGATCGCACACGTGAACTCGACAATTTACAACTGTGGACTTCGACCGAAAACAGGAAGAAAATGAAGTCGGACAAAAACTACGATAAAACCTGTTGGAAAGCCTCTTTTGCAGCGATTTTTGTGTGAGCATATCAGTGAACACCCCAGACCACTCAGTGAGTTTCACGTCTTTGTAAACTAAAGTTTTATGCGTTTTAATGAATGATTGTTCGAGTGCACCTATGCTACCATTGTAAAGGTGGGGGGTGGGTTTGCTAACACAGAATCCAAAAATTCTCGTGACAGGAGCATTTGTCTAAAAAACAATCCTAACTATTCTATTTCATCAGGGACGATCCAACCCGATCTCACGGGAATTCGTACGAATTTTACGAGGTGGCTAATTCGTAACAATTCATACGACCTCAGTCGTACAAATTAGTACGATTTTTGCTAAATCGTACATATTTTACGAATTGGCCAATTCGTATGAATTCGTACGAATGACCTACCCCTGACCCCGCCCCTAAACATAACCGTCACGTGGGTTTAGACAAATCGTATGAATTCGCACGAGTGAGGTCGTACGAATTAGTACGAATTAGCCACTTTTTAATCACTCGTACGAATTCGTACGAATTGGTCGTGAGATAGGGTAGGACGATCTTAAAACAAGGATTTAATTGTAAAATACCGAACTTGTCCTAGAGAAGAGATTTTTCCACTGTTGAAATCTATGAATGACTTGTGCATAATGATAAAAGAGAACATATTTTTTTTTTAAAATATAGCCTACTGTACACATCTTTAATGGCTTTATGAAATGAAACCAGGAAATTTAAAGGGATACTCCACTTTTTTTTCGAAATAGGCTCATTTTAAAACTCCCCCAGATTTAAACAGTCGAGTTTTACCGTTTTCGAATCCATTCAGAGGATTTTCTGATATTTAGAAGAATATCAGTAACCAGAAAGTTTCTGGTCTCACTGACTTCCATAGTAGGAAAAAAATATATACTATGGAAGTCAATGAGACCAGAAACTGTCTGGTTATGTTCTTCTAAATATCAGAAAATTGGCTGAATACATTCGAAAACGGTAAAACTCAACTGTTTAACTCTGGGGGAGTGGTAAAATGAGCCTATTTCCAAAAAAAGTGGAGTATCCCTTTAACTAATACATGGTTTTGTTATCTCTATCAACGATAAAACGTGTAGAGCTCATCAGAACACTTAAGTCTGGACTAAATCTTTCTGCTTTATTGAATTATTAACCCAAAGTCTTATTTGGAGCCAAAGGCAAGGGAGTTGAAACCATGTCTGGTTGTATGTGGCTCTAAGCCATAGTGCACATCTTGAACATTTATGGTACATGTAACCATACAGTTCATTCGGGTTTATTCAAAAGACTCACAGTCTTCACCAAGAACTCATTTTTTAAGACTTGAAATGGCCCTAATTCTGCCTAGTGATGGCAACATAATAAAAACACACGCATTTATAGCAACACAAGCCTCCCAGTGTTTAACGGATGACGCATGGAGGTACTCACCTCATATTACAGTAAAGGAAAAGTTCACCCGAAAATTATTTACTCACCCATTTTCACTTTCTTTCATGTAACATGATAAGATTGAGTAAAAAATCTGAAGTTTATAATTTCTAAGTTGCTCTTTTTCATACATTGATGGTAGCCATGGCTATCAACAATTTTTTTTTTATAATACACAGTAAATACTTAAAACACCTCGGTTACGACTGTAACCTCAATTCCTTTGCATAATGATGCCTTGAAGCACATGTAAAATGAGTCCAATGGTGTGGCAGAACGACAGAGGCAGTTGACTCCATGAACCAGGAAACTATAAAGCCTGCCCAAACAAAGCAGCGCTAGCTTCTTAACCCTTTCGTCCCTCCGCTGTCACCTCCCTTTTTGACAATGGGGGTTAAAATGTATTTAAACTTAAATGGTTGTAATTCAAGAATGCTTTGGAATATAGACCAAAGTTTGGTCTTGTTTTAAAGGAAACATTCAGCAGATTACTGCAAAAAAAGTTTACATTTACACTACACTTACAGTACTACTACACCTTTTTCTTTTATATAAAATATATATTTTAATTTTTTTTCACTATTTTACTATAAAACTACTATAAAAATCAAAGCCATATGTCTAAGCAAGTTGTGTTCCAAACTGGCCCATGCGTCTGATCCCACTGCTCTCGGGAGAAGCGCAGATCGCTGTCCAGCAGTTGCCAGTCCGCAACCTCCTGGTATATGAAGACCTGAAACGCGCCATCCTTCAGCAGGTCGGCCAGTCCCCAGAGCAGAGTCATAAACAGTTTCGCTCCTTGGAGTTCGGGGAATCCGGCCAGGTCTTAATCTTCACGCAACAGCTCCGGGATGCGCGCCACAGATGGCTGGGGGCCGAGGGCCACGGCGTCAATGGAATCATCGAGTTCATCGAGTCAATGGAATCATCGAGCAGTTCATTGCCCGTCTGCCGAAGAAGACCGCGCAATGGGTCCAGTGCCACTGCCTGACATCGCTGGACCAGGCCATCCAATTGGCAGAGGACCAACTGGTGGCGTGCCCAGGGGTCGACGAACCCCTCCCCTCATCTTTTTCTCTCTATCCCCCTTCTTCTCTGTCTGTTTCTCTCTCCCTGTCCCCTCTCCTATGTCGCGAGGTGGCGAGACCGGCGCCCCGCTGGAGGACTGGCCTTGCAGCTGAACCGGCCCCTGCACTCTCCTCACGCAAGTCACCTGACCCACTTCCCGCCACTGGGATGGCAGGGAAGCCTGAGCTGACCTGCTGGCATTGTGGGGACCCTGGACACTTTGTGGATAGGTGTCCAGTGATGGACGTCGGAACGGTGATCAGGGTCCCCCACGTGCCACAGGTTTCCCCCAATCAAGCTGGGTTGTACCAAATACCAGTAAGTGTAAAGGGGGGTACCTATCAGGCTT